AATATATTTCATATTGTGAATCGTTTACCCACGTGGTATGGACAAGATTGAATAAGTTTTATAAAGCATGTCCTATGCTATGTCGTGATAAACTCAGTAGCTACAATTGTTATGTACGTCTGAAATTGAACCATTGACAGATCGGATATTCCACCACATCCACCAAGGAACTCAACCATTATACCACAACCCTTATGGTTGATAAAAAGTTTCTTCATGTTGTTGTATATTTCAATCTTCACTTTGTGTCTATTAAAATAGGGTAGTTTACAAGATTATTAATTTAATTGCAAGTTGCTCTTTAACTATTATTTAAATATGTTCACTATAACAGTAGTCGACAAAAATATATGTTAACAAATATGATTTAGACCTCATAGTTTTCATAAAGTAATAGTTGTGTATTCGTGCAATGCGACGGGAGCCGTAAATTTTAACGTTTTTGAAGTTTCACTGGTTTTATTAGAGAAGATTTAACGATGATATAAGTTACACTTGGTCGTTACATATTAATACAATTTGAATAAATAAGAGTTATGGTTCCAATTACAGTCTATCGGTGAAATTTTTTTATGACAGTTTAAAATCCAATATATTTAAATCCAACATATTTAAACAACTATATAAATGTGTTCGATTTAAACCAAGAACAAAGAATCAAGAGATCGAGAGCGAAACCGAGAGTTTTCTAGAGCAACTGAATGAGAGAACTTTTAATAACTCATGATGCATATCAGTTTGAATCTCACATTGAGGGATGGAAAGAAGATATAGAGGTATGAAAGGATGAAAACATGAATGAAGGTATCAAAAGTATCTTGGGAACATGAAAAGAAAATGTAATAATGTGCATTGATAACTTGTATCACTCCACAAAATTGAGTTTATTGGACACCCTCAATCTCTAAGTGTCCTAATAGACCACTTTATAGGATCAAAATATAAAACGTTCTATCTAAAGGTGTTGTAATAAGTTTATATGAAGTTTTTGGGCGTCTTAACAAGTTTTTTAGGACATTTTTAATACAAAGTGTCGTATTAGCAACTTTATAGGACACTTTTGAGAAAATGTCTTATGAACTCAACTTTTTATAAGACATTTGTTTTTATAGGACAGTTTTTCAAATAGTGTCCTATAAATTTGCTAATGTGACGCTTTATATTAAAAGTGTCCTAAAAACTTATTACAACGTCAAAAAATGTCATATAAACTTATTATAACGCCTTTAGATAGGACGCTTTATTTTTTTTGTCCTATAAACTAAGTCTTATAAAGAGGTCTATGGACACTTAGAAATTGAGAGTGTCCTATAAACCCGATTTTGTTGTAGTGTATTATATGTTATTTTAATTGTAGATTAAAAGATTTTAAGACTGAATATATAAAATAATAGTAATTAATGTATTATGAGTTACTTTTAAGACTTTGTACATAAATATATAGTACTTTGTGGATTAAAAATTGTTTTTAAGATTCGTATGACTATGTCTTTCTTCTCTCTCTATATACGTGTTTATTTGTTTTATTCAACATTAATTCTAGTATTTTATGAAGAGAGAATGACATATATATATATATATATATATATATATATAACAATGTCACCATCAAAGAGTATACTATGTCAGCTTAATTCTCATTCAACAATGACACGCATACATTGTTACATATACAATTATGGGTTAAAATCCAAAGGTAATTCTAAAATATGATTTCTATTACAATATATTCATTTTTTTAATTCTAAAATATGATTTCTATTACAATATATTCATTTTTTTAATTCTAAAATCGCATGAAGACAACATCAAACTTTTGATTCATGAACTTCAAAAACGACGTGCCATCGAATTATGACCATGAAAATAATGTCCATATAATATTGTATACAAAGCAAACAAAGTTTGCGATCCACTACAACAAAATTGGGTTTATATGACCAAAATATAAAGTGTCATATCTAAAGGTATTGCAATAAGTTTATATGACCTTTTTGTGCATCTTAACAAGCTTTTTAGGACATTTTTAATACAAAGTGTTGCATTAGCAACTTTATAGAATACTTTTCAGAAAGTGTCTTATATATAAACTCAATTTTTTTATAGGACACTTGTTTTTATAGGACGGTTTTTCAAATAGTGTCCTATAAAAGTTGATAATGAGACATTTTATATTAAAAGTGTCCTAAAAAACTTATTACGACGTCAAAAGACGTCATATAAACCTATTACAACACCTTTAGATATGACATTTTATTTTTTTGTTTCTATAAACTAAGTCCTATAGAGAGGTCTATTAGGACACTTAGAATTTGAGATCGTCGTATAAACCCGATTTTGTTGTGTGTATTAGGGGAGAGAGAAGGAGTATGAACAGAGGGAAGGGATGAATTCTTAGTGATTGATTAAAGGGAAATGGTACAAAAACACTAATGTACCCGTAGTTTTAATACACCCACTCAAGATGGACGTGCACAATAAATGTCGTGTTAACGCAATCTAGGACATAAGATCTCATCTTGGAAGTAGGCAATGGTTTTGTAAGTAAATCTGCAAGTTGGAGATGACTTCTGACGAACATGGACTTGATTGTCTTGTCTATAATGACAATCAGTCTCGATGTGTTTAGTACATTCATGGAACGTGGGATTGGATGCAAGATCAACAGGAAATTTATTGTAGCAAAACAGTAAATTCGGATCAGTAGGAATAACATTAAGATCACACAATGGTTGCTTTGACCAAAGTAATTCTATGGTTATTATTGCCATAGCTCGATTCCGTTTCTGTTAATGACCGGGAGACAACAAATTCTATGTTAATTTCCAAGATATTAATGAATCGCACACGAACACACAAAAACCAGTTGTTGATCATCGCGTGTCGTTGCACATGCCATAGCCAGAATCGCAAAAAACCTCGAATCTGCGTAGAGGATCGAGTAGATAAAAATATCCCTTGACCAAGTTGTTTTATATATCTCAACCAACGTATGGAACTCTTTCAACGGGTTACTCCAGGCGAGGACATGAATTGAGTGAGCTTATTTACGATAAAGCAAGTATCCAGTTGTGTAAAGGTTAAATATAGAAGTCGTCCAACAAGCCTCCTATACTGAAATGGATCTAGATAGGAATCACCATTATTCAATGAATGTTGCAGATGAGGATCCATAGGAGTATCATCTGGCTTGAGGCTAACAAACAGGTATCCTCTAATAATTTCATGGCATATTGACGTTGAGTTTCGAAAATTACCTTTGTTGTAACACCTGGAATTTTTGCAAGTGAAATTGCATTGTTTGCCTTTAAAATAGTTGCTTTATAGTACCTTAGAAGTTAGCAAAAGTTTGGGTATCTTTTTAGAAAAAATTGTCTTTTGGGTTGTTAGGAAGAATAACCTCGGTACATTGAGGGCGATAGTGTCCGACGTTGGTGCCACATGCGACAAGAGCGGGCAGGTCGCAAGAATCGTCAAATTGGAAAGGGACTCTTGGTACACTTCGCGCAATATGCGGGGGCACTATCGCATGTCAGGATCTCAGGGTAGGGGCAGCCGGTTAAAATCCGATTTTCTACTCTTTGAGCCATTATTTCTCATACCGACCTCTCTTCTCCTTCATTAACTCCATTATGGTTTCAACCTGAAGTCGAAGATTGTTCTTTTTTCAAGCATTTATTAGCTTTCAAGTGTAAGATTTCAAGTGGTGATCAAAGCTTCAAGTCAGCCTCTTCATATTTAGGATTTTCATCAAGTTTATAGGTTTTATCTAAAACCTATCAAGTGAGTTTATTCTAATTCTTTTAGACATTATACATGTCAAAATGCTTTGTTTTAATATCTTAAAATGTTCCTCCTAATATATCTTATATATCGGTTTATTTTGCGCATTTTGGGAGATTTGGAGTTTTGATCCCTTTTGTTTGAAAATAAAGGGATCTTCAATATATGTTTTATAAAAGTATATTTTAAACACATAAATGTTATTTTGAGGCATGAGTATTATGAACAATGAGTACTCTTGATATTTACATGTTTTGGGAAATTTCATGAAAATGGGTGTATTTGAATAAGAAGTCTTCTTACTTATAAATCTAGGTTATTTTTTTTTTGAAAAGAGAAAACTTCCTGGCAAATATATAAAGGCAAAGGAAACCAAACAACAAGATCAAACATCTAAGTCACCAAGCAGAAAAACAATAATACAGACTAGCTAGAAGACAACACCATACCAAGCCACCAGAAGCCGAAGCCAAAAGGTACACAATGAAATATAAAGGAAAACCATGCAAAAGAAGATGCACAAAACTAGACTCCACCAAAACCAAAGGAGAAACTGCAACAGCACCAAGAAATCAAAGACCTCCATCAAGGGCATGAATGCTGATTCTTCTATTAGCTCTCCACGCCATCCTTTCCAAAACCACACTTCTAATCTCCTTAGCAAGTTGATTCTTCGTCCTTCTTTGCTCTGCAAAAAGTCTTCTATTCCTTTCTTGCCAAATGTAGTAAACAGAAGCCGCAAAGCCTAACTTTTGCATAAGAGATCATCGCTTTCCTTGTCCACTAACAATCACCAAAAAGATTCCTCCATAAGAATCCCCAACGCCCAACATACCAACATCCTCCTTAACAGCCGCCCAAGCCTCCACATAATATCTACATTCAAAAATTGAATGACTATGGGAATCTATGCAAGATTTACATAAGGAACAAAGAAGGTCCGGGGGATCATGTTTCCAATCTTTCATTCGGTCTTGAGTTGGAAATCGTCTCCTACAGGCTAACCAAAGACAGAATGCATGCTTCGGAATGTGTAATGAGAACCAAACAATGCGATGCCAAGGGACAACTGTTTGAACATCATCCATAGAACTGTATGCCTCCTTAACTAAGAAGCCAACAACTTTATAATGCACATTCCTCCACAAAACATTATCTCGAGTATTATAGGAAAGCACCGGCACTGTACAATTCGAAAGCCATGAAGCTCTTTGAATCTAAGTCTCCAGCCAATTATCATCCAATTGATTTACAACATCATACACAGTGGAGAGCGAATTGAAGCCACTAGCATGCATTAAACGATAACAAAGGAAGTTTGCCAACGTACCATTAGGAAGCCACTTATCCTCCCAAGCATTCGTGGACATACCATCCCCAATCTGAATAACAAATAGCGATCGTAAATGGTCCCAAATATCCAGCAGCTTATGCCAAACCCAAGACGTATTTGAGTTCTTCTGAACACTCAAAAAAGGGCTATAGTTCAGCCGAAACTCATAAATCCAAGAGACCCACAACGATTTCCTTCTTTGTAAAATATCCTAAACATGTGAAGCTAATAAACTTCTATTCCAAACAGTCAACTGCTTAATACTAAGACAACCATTCACCTTCAGTTTACAGACCTCATCCCACACTACTTCCTTGTGACCATAAGAAATCACGGAAGAGAGACTCTATTTCATGAAGAACATAAGAAGGCATAGAAAATACCGATTTATATCATACTATATGAACAGTAAGAATTAATAGTCTTAACATCCAACAAATTTGTAAAGATTGAAGAACCTACCTTATAAACTGACAACGACCACCAAAAGAGAGAAATTTCGCCTTCCAATTTTGAATCCGAAATTTGACTTTGGTATTAAGAACACCAAAGTCATTCACTTTTAGACGCACTAGGGAGAGGGGAACGCCCAAATACCGAATAGGAAAGGTAGCCTCCATAAAAAGGTAAACAACCTAGAATATCATATTTAGTTTCTGGAACATTAGCAAAGAATATTGCACTTTTGGCAAGGCTAGGAGACAAACCCGATCTTCTCTTAAACATATCTAGGGCCTTTTTCAGAACTTCTACCGAAGCCACATCACCTCGCGTAAAAACAAATAAGTCATCAGCGAAACAAAGATGAGTAAGCATCAAAGAATGGCATCCTTTATGATACCCAAAAGAATCAGCCTCCGAGATACATTTCTGAAGGATCATGGTGAAACCCTCCATTACACTCATGAAAAGGTAAGGGGATAAAAGATCATCTTGTCGAATACCCTACCACCCTTAAAGAATCCCTAAGAGGTTCAGTTCAGCATAACCGAATAAGAAGGGTTACTCACCATTTCTCCAATCCACCTCACCATGACTGGATGAAAACCCATTCCAGCTAACATATTTTGCAGAAAATGCCAATCCACTGTATCATAGGATTTTTGCACATCAATCTTGAAAGCACACCGAGGAGAACCTTCATTCCTTTTATAGCCCGAAACAAGCTCATGAGCCATAAGAATATTGTCCGTAATTCTACGACCTAGAATGAACGCATATTGGTTTGAACTTACCAACCTATCCGAAAACTCCTTGATCCTTTCAGCTACAATTTTGCTTATGCACTTATACATAACCGTACATCAAGCAATAAACCTATAGTCTGTCACTTTAGAAGCATTTGGGGTTTTGGGAATAAGGCACAGTAACGTATGATTCAGTTCACAAGGAAGAAACCCACGATAGAAAAAATTGTGAACAACTAAGGTAACATCACCTCCCACTATGTCCCAAGCCGCTTTAAAGAAACAAGCTGAATACCCATATGATCGCAGGGCTCTGTCATTTCCAATTGCAAACATGGCCTTCTTTATCTTCTCATTATAAATAGGCCTGATCATATGGTTTGCCTCCCGCAATGGACAATCGTCTAGTGAACATCTCCTCTGGCATAAAAGGATCAACAACAGCATCTTGGACCCCAAGAATGGTCTGAAAATGAGAGAAAAACATTCAGCAAATCTTCACCATGCACATAGTTTCCATCAGAATCCATAACCGAAGAAATCTTCTAGAAATGATGTTTCTCCCTCACCATAAGATCGAAGTATCTAGTATTAGCATCCCCTTCATTCAACCATCTCACTTTAGCCCGTTGCTTATAGAAGTTCTCCTCATCCATTGTCGCTTGTTGAAAAGCCAATAACACATAGGTAAGATCTTCTTTAATTAGAATATTTGATGAGTCCCATCAAAAGCATTTTGGGTTGCCTTCAACTCCTCCCGCAAATCCACAACATGTTTTGGGATACTCTCATACGGAGCATGCAACTGAGGCAAAGGCTTTTTCAATAACTTCAACCGAGAAGTCACTTTAAAAGCAAAAGAGCCAACAACTTGCACAGATCACACATCTTTCACAGCTTGCAAAAAAAGAGGGTGATTAACAAGAAAGTTGTCAAATTTAAAACCCCAATTCCGCTTCAGAACTCCCCCTTTGAAAGAAAGGACGTCCGATGCATGATCATACATACCCCTCGGATGAAAGCACATGCCAACATCATGGGAGAGAGATGTGAACTCCATATGAGCAAGAACCCAGTCAAGCTTTCGAAGAAGGCCGCCATCAGCATTTGGCTTTTGGCAACAAGTATATTGGACCCCCGTGTAACGAACATCAAAAACTTCAATATCCTCCACATAAGCGTGAAACTCAAGCATATCTATCGACCTTCTAGTTGAACCACCATAACTTTCATGAGAGAAAAGAATATAATTAAAGTCTCCCATGATCACCCATTTTTTATCCGTGGAGAAAACCTTGAATTTTCGCAACCTCGACCAAAGTTCACGTCTAGTAGCAGTTTGATTAGCACCATAAACCACTGACAAGAATAGAAGTTCTGACATCCCTCTAATATGGACTTCACAATGTATAAATTATGCATGCATTTCAATCAAAACCACGTCCATAACATTTGCATCCCAAGACAAATTAATACGAGTACCGAGAGGAGAATGTAATTGATTAGACACCCAATCCCACTGACCAAACAAACGACCACGAATGTTAGATAACACAGAAGCATTAAGATGCGTTCCAATGACGACACAAAGACGTAAATCATGACAATGAATAAAGTTTTTACCCTCCCTCAGTTTAATAGGAAATTCAACCCCCTAACATTCCAAAAAGCGAACTTAGTCATTATGAACCTTACCCGCCTCGTTAGCCGCCAACTGTGTCTCCGGTACACCATAAGACGCCTCTACCTACTCTAAATCATCATCTGAATCCATGTCTTCTCTTTTTGAATCCGATAAAAGAGCAAATATGTTATTAACAAATGAAGGTGGCAACGGGGACCCCCTATGAGCCTTATTAAACTTATGAAAAGATTTCACAACTGCAGACAGAAGAGGAGTCCCTTGTAATGATTTAATGAGAAGAGACAAGTCACCACCACAACCAATCCCCCAAATCTGAAGGTTTCTCCTTATGGTCTTCCACAACCAACTCCGGTTCTTTAGATGAGCCACCACTCAATAAATCCACCGCCTCTTTCTTGAACCATTGGATGTCGTATGCTTTTGGCAGTAAACTTGCTTCCTAGCTGGCTGACCAATCATGGCCGAATCACCCAAAGAAGATTCTCGACCAGATTTGGGAATAGATTTATGCTTCTTTTTACACGTAACCTTAGTAAAGCCATCATAATAAGTAGAGTCTCTAACCCCCTTGCCCTTATCTTAAGAAGACTGATTTTGAGTAGAACCAACCGTAGAACAGGAGGACCGTTTATGACCAAACACCAAACAGTGACCATATTACATTGGTTCCCAAATATACTCCACCCTTACCTTGACAAGACCATCCTCACCACCATGGATATTAGGTACAACCATATCTAGTGCATGCTTTAGATCACCTAATGCCTAAACATCAAATAAGATCTTTGCAAAACCCTGTCTACCCCATGCATTATCAGATATAGAAGTAGTACAGGCATCCATTCTCTTAGGAATCCCAAGATCACCACCAATAAGTCCAATCCCTCTCTGTTAAATTCCACAAGAGGGATATCATGCAGCTTAACCCATAAAGGACATGTAGAATGTTCAGGTTTCACTAGCCCCTGTAGAGGGTCCCACAGGTAGACAAAAAGGGGGACACCATTAACCATTAAAGGGCTAGATTCAACCACCTACAAACTCCTCCCTTCATCATTAAAACGAAAGAAGAAAAAGCCCTTCTCATTCATCATTGTCTCACGAAATCCATACTTTCCCCGAGTTGCCTTAGCAACTCTCTGAACAATGGGGAAAGGAACACAGGGACCTAAAAATTACCCATACATCATAGTATGGGATGTTTTCAAAGCTGACTTTGCCATTTCAACCCAAATAGGGATACACGACATACCTTTATCACCTAAAGGAAAGAAGTCCATATCACTTTTTGGTTCAGAAGTATTCCCTTTCCCCACCGATGCAAAGTCAGAATACGTTCCATCTAAGAAACTTTTCCAAACTGAAGTGGATTAACACCCACCCCCAGAGCACCACTAGGACGTTTAAACACCGAAATCCTATCACCCTTCGCATGCATGATTCCCTCGGTGGGAAATCTAGACGTGTGCATGGTATTCTTATTTCCATGCACTACCCCTTCATCCCTCGACATTCCTTCATTTGACCTACCCACACTTTCCTCTGATAAAGTTTCACTCATTCCAAATGCCTAGAAACAACTAGATCGGAATGTGAAGTCAGGTTGCTGAAATCCTTCTCAAGAGGGGCCCTTGGAAGTAACGAAGACCTAGGCGAACTGAGGTGCTATAACACTCCTTGGGAGACTTAAGTTGGACAACGAAGACCACGAAAACACACACTCCAACCTAGATGCAGGGCACCAAAAAACCACGCAATACACACACAAGCTAAAAGGACCAGCTAAAGGTGTGATTATGACGCAGCCAAGAGAGGCTAAAAAACTGAAAAGAAAACAACAAACAATAAGGAGGAAACCAATAGTAGCAAGCAATAAGGAGGAAACCAATAGCAGCAAGCAATAAGGATGAAACCAATAGCAATAAGCAAAAGCCAACAACAGCGAAGGGGGGAGCGTTCCGCCTTAGAGTGAAGCACCCGCGCGAGATTTCCGGAAGTCCACAGAAAAATTATTGCTAATTGCCCGAAAAAAAGCGGATATAGTCGAATGGTGACTTACTGACGGGAATAAAACAACACCAAATAGAGCAAAGACCACACAACAATAACAAGCTTGTTGCCGATCAGATCTGGAGGTCACGATTAGCCAATTAAATAGCATAAACTAGCACCAAGCTTGTAGAAAATAACCAGATCTGATTGATTAAGCAAACACAGCCCTAAAGATAGCAGAAAACAAAGCCAACAGCACCAACCACTAGCCATGGAAACTCATAATCTCCCCTGTCATCGTAGATGTATTTTGGACCTTAATTGTTTTGAGTTTTTTACATTATTCATAAATGTTTGTTCTCACAATGCGTTACACCTAACACTTTTCTTAAAGACATGTATATCAGGTTCTCTTAGTGGTGGTGGGGCTCTAAAGTCTTAAGTGAAGGGTATGGATGCTTGTAGAGGCATTTTTTGGTTACTAACTATTAGCCATTTGGCATTATTGACGAACAATATTCTTTTGAAGACGATAGTGACACCAATCCATAATCTAAACTTTGTGTAGTTTAGATTAGTAAGTTCTTATTTATTGTGTTAATATTTTGGGTTGTAAATGCTATACTTCTCTCCTCTTTTGGGGAATTTTATGTCATAGGCTCTATATTTATATCAATTGTTGGTTTAAATTTATTCTATTAATATAGGGTGTTGTAAGTTCATATCAGAGTTCTATTTAAATGAACTAGGTATGAACTTAAGATGACTAGACGTAAGCTGAGACTTTAAGTATTGATTTGTGAGATGTGGGTAGGACTCTTAAGATAGGAGAGTTATAGAATCGACGAAAATGCACTAATTATGAATTGTAATGATGGTAATGAGGATTCTTATATATATAGTATATTCAAAGTTTCATGTAGCTAATGCTATTTTGAGTATATTGTTATGTGAGCATGCTTGTCTTACTATTGAGATGGTCGATGAATGTAATAGAACGTTTCAATTGTAGATCTTGTGTTGGTTTAATCTCATGTTCTTGTTCCTTTCCTTAGCAACATAAGATGGTTAACATGCAGAGTAGACTGCTAAGCAATGTTGACAGCAAGGAAGACAATTGGACGACTCTAGGGCAACCTAGAGGGGCCGGTAGCATGCAACTCCATCCAATTTTTGCCCATGCTTCACGGAAGAGTTGATATCATGCCATAAGTAAGTTTCGCCACCAATACTTCGGTCATTGATGAGGTAGACCTTCAATCTGTGATTATGGCAAGTGTTATGTAGATGGTGATTTCGACAATGGGAAAACACATGAATCATTTATGAAGTTACTTGTGGATTAGGATGCAAGTAATCGGAGGAGTGAAACTGTTGCTGAATATGCCTTAGGAGGTTCCAGAGGAAATGGGGTTGTGGTCGGTACCGAAGAGAAAGTGGTTGTCGACATGCGACATGGAGAGAAGAATTGTACAAAGAAGACTTCTCCATGTAGCAAGTCGCCTATGTTTTGGGAACTGAAAATCCAGTTGTGTGTATGAAATGGATACAAAAGACGGAGCAAGCTTCTGACTCTAGTGAGTGTGGTCGACAAGTATGAAGAAATCTCAAGTGTTGGTCGATAAGAAACTCTTTCATCAAGAAATGAGAAGCACTACTCTGAGGAACCAGAGGCTCTGCCTTTACTTCTGGTCTCACTTTTGACTTTCCTTTTTTGGCCTATAAATATGAGCTATTAGTTCATTTAACAAGAATTGTAACAACAATATTCAGATTTCTTGTACTTCATGATCCTTACAATCAATCAAATGTAATCTGAATTCAATCAATGGACAAGATAACTATGATGACATATCAAAAACATTTATGATCTTATTCTTTTTGTTTATCTTATATTGCTTTACCCTATTTAGATCAATTACTGCTTCCGCATCAATATTTGTGTATTTGATCTAAATTGAGAAATCTGGAACCAACTTTTGGTATTAGAGCATATTGGTTATTGATAATCAAACGATC